ATCATTTGGTCCTTAAAGACAGGGATGCCTAATTCCCTTTACTCACCTGGGGGCTTAATCTGCATCACTTAATCATCTTAATGGATCAATCGATCAGTATCTGTAGATGTTTCAAGAATGTGCATATAAGGAGCAACCAGTCTCTAGTTCTTTTATTGACTGATTGATTGATCAGCGATTGATTTTTTTGTTTTTCGAGACAGGTTTTTCCTGTGTAACTTCAGCTGTCCTGGAGCTAGCTCTTGTAGACTAGGCTGGCCTTAAACTCACAGAGATCCACCTGCCTCTGCCTCCCGAGTGCTGGGATTAAAGGCCTGCGCCACCACCGCCCGGTCAGTTTCTAGTTCTTGAGTTTGGACCGTTGCCTGTATCCCTCAATTCACGCTGCCTTAACAAGATACTGCAGACGGAGTGGTAAGACATTCATTGTCATAGAGTTCTGAGGGCTTCAGGCTCCAGGGCAGGACCTTTTCGTGGTTGTTTGTCCAGCTTGGGAAAGTGCTTTGCCATCTCAGGCCCCTTCCTCTGAAGTCTGGGAGACAGAGAGCACGGATGAACGCAAACTCTGTGAGTCTCTTCTGGAGAGGACATTAATTCCATCAGACCAGGATTCTACTGCGTGGCCACATTTAGCTTTAATTGCTTCCTCAAACGTCCAGTTTTCAGTGCAGCCGTCCTGGGGTCACAGCTTCAACAGTGCGTGCATTCTGTTTGCAACTCCGTCTTTAACTGGAAATTCAGAAGACAGGATTAGACAATTTTATGGGGAGTTTGGATTTTTTTTAATCCAGAGTCTCATAACATTTGAGAGAAAGAGAAGAAATCAGTGTTAACTCAATGACTGAATAAAATTAGCAATGACTTACTTACTACCCTGTTCATTTGTATTAAAAACCACTTTTATAAGACTGATGGTTTGTTTCTGTTTTATGTGGTGGGAGGAAGCATAACCCTAAATGGTTCTAAGCTCTTCCTGGAAAAGAATAAAATAAAAGCAAGAATTTCCCCAACCTTCCTCCTTTTTACCCGTCACCATCCTTCCCTCTCCTTTTCCCTCCTTCTCTCCCTCTTTCCTGGTTCACTTCCTTTATACTCTTCTTGGCGACTGTGACAGCAAGCGTGAGTTGCCAACTCCAAGGGATCTAGGATTGCCTCGGAGACAAGCCTCGAGGTACACCTCTGAGGGTTTCTCCAGGTTAGGTTACCCTATCTGCATGTTGGTAGGGCATCGTCTTCATCAGCTTAACTGATGTGGGAAGTCCCGTCCCCTGGATTAGCATCCCGACAGAATAGAATGGAGACAGCAAGGCAAGCGTGAATTCTTGGTCGGGGTGTGATGCGTCCAGCTGCTTCAGGCTTTTTCCTCAACTTCCCGGCCAAGAAGGACTGACTATACCTTGACCTGTGAGGCAGAAGAAACTCTTTCTCCTTTAAGTTGTTTAGTTGGTCTGTTTTTTTTTTTTTTTTTTTTTTTTTTATCATCACAGCAGCAGGAGAAGAAGCCAAGATACTCCACCTGTGCCAGGTGTTCACTGCTCTTGAGGCAAACAGTAAATACTATCGTGGAAGACCTTATCTGGGCGGACTTGTTTCCCATCTTGGGGTTGTTGCAGATATGAAAGGAAACAAGTAAAAAATAATTCTGGGGCATAAGATACAGAAGAGCCAATGCAACACTGAAGGACGAAGTCGGAGGATAGTTAAGGCTGTGGTGGCCCATGCTCGCCGGAATGCATTATGGGAGGTAAATGAGTTTGAGGGTGGCCAGGGCGCCATAGTGAGATCCTGGCTCACTGCAGACAAACAAAACCCAAAGGAACAAAGCTGGCAGACCAATTCCATACAATATCAGGACTTTTAAATAGCTGTAGTGGTCTAGACAGTGTGATATTGGTGAAATAATGGACAATTCAATGGAGAAGAATACACAACCCAGAAATGTAGCATGATTAATAAAAACCAAGAGACAGATACTGGGGTTCAACCCAAAGGTCAGAAAAGCAAAGCAGCCAGCCACTGGCTTTTACCTCTACCTTAGTTCGAAATGGCGATCCTGCCTCCAGGAGTCTCAGAATGAGGCTGTGTCGGAGAGCTGTCTCCTCCCATCTTATATCCCTCTCTAGGGGTGGGATTAAAGGCATGCACTACTACCACCTGGTTTCTGTGACAAACTAGTGTGGCTACTGGGATTAAAGGTGTGTGTCACCACTGCCAGGTCTGTAAGGCTGACCAGAATGGCTGTTTTACTCTCTGAACTTCAGGCAAGCTTTATTTGTTATAATACAAATGAAATGCCACTATATTAGCTTGGCAAAGGACTAGAAACAAGACAGAATGGTGCTGGAAATACTTAACAACTACGTGCAAGAAAATGAATTTGTTTACAGATTTTACATCCTTCATGGAAATCAACTCAAAAGTAACACCTGTCTTAAATGTAATACTCAAAACAATACGATTCCTAAGAGAAATATCTGGGTGACCCTGGGTTTGGCAATAACGTTTTCTACATAACTCCCAGTACATGACCCATCAAAGAAGTAATCAAGAAGCTTAATTTCATCAAAATTAAAGATTTCTGCTCTGTGAAACACTGTGAAGAGTATGAGAGAATAGGCTGTAAACCTAATACTTGTAGAAGCCGAATCTAATAAAAACTGTTGTCCACAACATGCAATGAATCCTAAACAGATCGATGGTAGGAAAAAAACTCCAGCCTGTTTTTAAAAATTGGCCGAATATCCAACAGACATCTCAGCAAAGAGCTATACACAGATGGAAAACAAACACAACAAGACGCTCCGCGTGCAACAGCATCCGGGAATTGCAGATTTGAACAACTGTGAGATCACCTACGCACCAACTATAAGGCTAAAATCCAGGATTCCTGTCAACTCTGAATGCCGAGGAAGGAGCAACAGAAGCTCCGTGCTGGAGGGGATGCAGGACGGCAGAGGTAGCACCGTGACAAGTGATGGTGTCCCCACAAAGTTAAGTACACCCTTAAGAATGTGATCTAGTAATTGTGGCTCTTGGCATTGACCCAAAGGAAGATGAAATCTATACAAAGCCCTCCACATGGATACTCGTAACCTACCTCTCTCTCTCTCTCTCTCTCTCTCTCTCTCTCTCTCTCTCTCTGTGTGTGTGTGTGTGTGTGTGTGTGTGTGTGTGTGTGTGCGTGTGCACAGAAGCCAGGATTCCAACCTTGGATGTTCTTCATCAAGAGCTATTTTTTGTTTTTGAGGCAGGGTCTCTCACTGGCATCTGGGGCTTACAAATTAGGATAGGCTACTGACCCGTGAATCCTAGAAATCCTCCTGCCTCTGCTCCACCGGTGCTGAGACTATAAGCATTGCCACAGGACCTGGCTGTTCTGGGACTCCAGCTCAGATCCTCATGCTAAGACAGTAAACATTTTACTAACTGAGCTATTTCCCCAGCCCCAGATATGTATAGCAGCTTTATCTATAATTGTTATAACTTGAAGGAGCAGCTGGGTGGTGGTGGTACATACCTTTAATCTCAGCACTTGGGGAGCACAGCTAGGAGGACCTCTGGGTCCAAGGCCAGCCTGGTCTACGGAGCGAGTTCCAGGATAGGCTCCAAAGTTACACAGAGAAACCCTGTCTCAGCAACACCCCTCCCCCCCACAAACCCTTGTAAGCAGCCATAAGGTTAGCACAAAAATAAATGACTATATTATCAGCTTATGTAATATTAACCAGCATAAAAACAAATAGGCAATCTGTGAAAAGACATAGAGGAACTTAGACACATATTTCTAAATGAAAGAAGGCAGTCTTGAAAGATTATATATCCTGGGACATTCTTTCAGAGGAACGTTATGGGCACAGCAAAAGGATCAGTGATAATGAAGATTAAGGAAGAAGGGAGAACATACAGAGAATTTCAGGGCGGTGGAACTTTGTAACAGTGCTGATATGTACTGTTACACATTTGCCAAAAGCCCCTCAAAAGGGCACACCAATTGTGAATCCTCCCAGCAACATGGGCTTCTTCAATTCTTGATGTGTCAGTGGCCGTTTATCAGTTGTGACATGATAAACTGACAGTGGCAAAGGAGGACCTGAAACAAAAGCTACTTCAAGGTTAACGTGGGAGGGAGCTGGAGAGGTGGTGGTGGTTAAGGGAGCTTCCTGCTCTGAGCATCCAGTACAACCACCTGTAGCTCCCACTTCAGGTGATCGGATGCCCTCTTCTGGCCTTCTTAGGTACTGCATGCACATGGCACCCATACCTGCGTCCAAGGCAAAAGCCCTCACAGGTATTAAGGAAAAGGTTAATGTGTGCAAGAAGTCAGTTTGCAGAGGGACACTGGCATCACCTAAGGAAGGAGCAGAGCATGCAAAGGGAATGCAAAGGGATGTGGAGGCGGGAACTCGAGCAGATCTTATACCGTATAACTCTTTGCTCAGCTCACTTCCCTTCTTGGAAATACTTTTTCCTTAATTAATAATCCTTTATTAGTAATAAAGGTAATAATTTTCCTTAATTAATAATTTGTTTATCTCTAATCGATGCCTAATTTAAAAGGCATGACTTTTTCTCCATCTTCTGTTAACTGCTGGGATTTTTTTCCTACCTAGCCTGTGCTATGTTCTTTTCTTTAACTCTGATAAAATTGTCTGTGGACTTCCTTCTGAGTCAATTTCTAGGATCATTCTTGAGACAAAGAACCCCAAAAAGGGACCTCAGTTTCCCCAGTTTTAGCATCAGTGTGGTGGTGGGTACTGATGGGGGACAGCTTGTTCGTGCTCGAAAACCTAGTTTTTAAAAATGCACATGCAGGCCTCCAGTCAACAGCGGGCGCATGCTGGCTCTAATAACGTTAGCTTTAATACAGTAAACTAATGCGTAGACCTTAACAACACGGCACATTAGAAAGACTCGGCGGCGCAGGGCAGGCTTTAAAGGGTCACTCGCTGATTGAGGCTGCCCGCCGACTCTGAAGTTGTTTTCCTTCGTCATTCTTACAGTGCCACCACCCTGTTTAATATCTGGACCAAATACGCCCCCCGGCTGCCGTCTGACTATTACAACGAGAAGCTGCTGAAGGTCGGAGACAGCCTCTGTCAAATTAAAGTGAGTGGTCGGGAAGCGGAGAAGCCAGAGTGAAACAAACTCCTTTGGCTGCTTAGGATTTATTTGGGTTGTTGCTTCTCCTGGTCTTCGTGTTTTGGAACTAAGATGCGAATGGATATAATTATAAGGAGGGAGAGTACCAGTGATAACGGCTATGAAGTTGGCCTTTTCATTTTGTATTTGAAATTCTCCAGGGTGGTTGGTTTCTTCAGGAACCAGAGGCAGGCTGGAATTGGGGGGGGGGGGGGGGGCACTCAGCTCCATCAACAGAGGGTGTGGTAGGCCCACGGCAGGAAGTGCTGAGTCATCCTGTTCCTACTTTATACAAAGGGCCCAGACACCACTTCCTGTTGTTTTTCACTGAGCTGGCGGCCTTACCCCATCAGCCCTCGTGGCTACTAGCCTGGCCTTGCAGTGTTCTGTTCAAATGACTTTTTGTTTCTTAATGAGCATCTTGCTGTCCTGTGTGTAGAGTCTGTGGCAGATATGCCCTGTTTCCTGCTCAGTATTATATTATGGTACAGCATGTACCATAATGTTCATGCCGCTTGGGGTCTATGATTTTGAATGTCATGGACCTGCACTTGACTTGATAAGACCGTGCCACACAGGGCTTTCAGTTCATGACCTTGTGAGTTTAACCCCGAGCTCTGGCTTAAATCCAAGTATAGCAAGTTCTATTCAGTGTTGGGCAAGGAATTATTTTGTGCCCTGGGATTTTAGGGCAGACACAGGCAGTGTTGGTGCCTTCTCAATCTTGAGTTTCTCAGCTTGATTTTCCTCCTGCATGTCTCCTTCTTGGTCATCCGTGTTCTTGGTCCAGGGCAAATTTGCCAAATGGAGGATAAGATGTAGAAAGATTTCCATTCAGAAATACCACCAATGCAAAAATACAAGTCTCACCTCAAGAGGGATCAGAGATAAGTTATCCTGGAGCCAAATATGAGCAGCCATGGCCCCGGAACACAGATCAGATCCTCCGGGATTACTTGTCTGATGTGGGTAACAGTTCCATGAAGTCTGTATAGTCACTTACTGCTCTCTAGTTGTAAATCAAGACACTTCTCAAATATGTTGGTAGAAACATCAGGCAGAGCCGTCATAGCAAAGTGGGAAATCTCTGCTGCAAGCCTCAGGTACCATCTGATGACATATTTGGTCTTTTGGCTGGTGGCCACTCAGCAGTCTGCTCAGTTAGCATATTCTAAGATATTTCACCTGGGAGTCAAGTCGTGAGGCTCAAACTCAGACAGGGATACTTTAAAGGAGCTAAAGGGTAGCCCAAGAGAGTTTGTAATTAGACTCTGGACTTGCCACGTTCCAACCTCCCCACGATCAAGGAAACTGGCTCTGGCTCCATCTTAAGACACCATTTTGAGACCGTCACCAAGACCACTTTTATTTCAGGAGTACAAGCTAGCCCTCCTGCAGTGCTATGGGAGGTACCTTCATCAGTTCACGACCGACGTGGATGAGCATAGAGAAGACGTGAATCAGTTCAAAAATGTCTTTTTCCCCAAAGGCTTTGGGGATGAAACTGCGGGACTTACGGTAAGAGGGGAGGGCTGTGACTTGGGACCAGCTGTGTGACTTGTGTCGCCTTTGGCAAACAGTGTCTAGATGCCACCCTGTGCCTAGTACAGCATCCGGCTGTGCCCTGTGAATCGTCTGATCCATGTTTTGAGGGCGGGAAAACACAGTGAATTTATTAAGCTCTGGTGTTTGTGTAACATAAGCCTAGTGCATTCTGCAGGCATCACTAGTTGCCTATTATGGCAATAACTAGTACTTGTAGGTACGTTCATTTATAAACAGAAAACATACCGAATTCTTAGAACATGCTAGATAGATCTTACTACCGCTCTATCTTACAGATGGGAAAACAAGGCTTATTATATAGGGATTGTAAAGAAGTGGTCCTTGAGCACAAACATGTATTTTTTATAAGCGATTTGAAGCTCTATTTTTTTTATTGTACAAGTGTTGCTATAGTAACTGCTAGCATTAATTGACTAGTTGAGACCCCTGCCGCTTTATAACTGTGCTTGGGAACCTGGGAGATAAAGGAGTCCCTGCTAAGAGGATGGGGTTGTGCGACACTGGCACTTTTACCCTCCCCGAGATTCTCAGTGACTGGCCTTGCTACCCCCCCCTTCCAAGTACCCCAGGTGTCTTTATGGGGACAAAACAGCAAGCCAACGGCAAATAGAAAAACCATGCCAAAGCGAGCTTTGTGCCAGGTAACCTCTGAATGCACTCTGTGTACGAATTATCAGCTCACGGCCTCCTTCCTCCGTAAGAGGTGGAGCTGGTTTACCTTTTTACTGATAAAAGAAACAAGATTCCAAAAGGTTAAGAAATCAGCCCAGGGGCTGGAGAGCCGACTCTGTGGCTAAGGGCGCTTGCTGCTCTGCCAGAGGATCTGAGTTTGGTTCCTAGCACCCACATTCACAACAGCCTGTGACTCCAGGGTAGCTGATGGCCTCTTCTGGACTCCGTGACCATGGCAGATTCCCAGAGCATCCCTGGTCTTGTCTGTGCCGGGAATGTTGCCTCTGCCAAGAGCCGAGGCTGTTTCATCCCTTGAAACAGTGGCGGCCAATCAACATTAGCTGAAAGCATTCTATAAACAGAAAGAATCGCATCTGAGTTAATAAATAGGTTAAAATGCCCTTGACTGAGATTATACATTACTGAATGGTAATAGGATAATGGGTAATGGGATTTTGGTTCTCTTTGGTTCGGAATTTTCTTTTGTCTACACAAAGTTAATCTTAACTAAATGAATGCTCTAATAAGACCCATTTTATGTTTCTTTGCATACTACCCATTAAACCAATTAATCATCTTAGCTTTTTTTTTTTTACATTGGTGAGAAATGCCTTTTCTGAGCCCTGTATGCCTAGTTTATTTTCATATATTTCCCATGTCTTTCAGTTTCATGCTTTGAGTGGCAAAAATATTTGCCACTACGAGCTGGTCTGTGAAAACGATGCTAACCTGCAGAATAAGGAATCCGTGAGGCAGTGTCTGCATATCTTGTCGTCCCTAAGGCTGATCATGCAGGTGGCCCTTCCCCAGGAGCACCTCTGCTGGATCATCTTCAATGGTGAGAACCAAGATGTCTTCCTTCCCATCATGTCTTCCAGACAGCTATTTAAATGCCAGCCTTGATGGTAACTTGATCATTTTGTGATTGAAAACACATTCATTACTGTAATAGAATAACTGTATTATTTTAAAACATTTGGCTTGCGTTTTAGTCTACCCACACAAGCAGAGACTTTGGGTTCTTCACCAAAGGAAGGGCAGTGGGTTTCAGGGACCATAACTGGTAAGTGGGGAAGACGTGGGGGATAGTCTAGTGACTGCTGTTCGTCTTAAGAAACATTTGCTTTATTAATTCTCGCCTCAAAGACCCTGGCTAGTGGTTTTGGCTTTCTACATAGCAACATTCCTGCTCAGCTTGTTTTTAAGTGAGGATCTCTCTCTCTCTTCTCTCTCTCTCTCTCTCTCTCTCTCTCTCACACACACACACACACACACACACACGTCCACATACACACTCTATAATATATATATTATATATAGAGAGTATTCTCATGTATGTAAAGAAACGAATCTTAGCTATTAAAGTGTAACATTTGCTTTTTTATTTTATTGATGGTGCTAAGGATGGGTAATATAGTCTAAACAAAAAAAATTAATAGTGGCAGTCTGTTTGCTGTGCATAAGACTGGGAAAGAATAATTCCAGTGAAAATATACGGCGTTTTCCCTCATCTCGTGGTGACTGAAAGTTTATCTCCTATCTGCTTCTGTCCTTACCCCAAATCACACGTGTCCCAGCATGCCTCAGCACTAAGGGAGTCAAGGACACTGCTGATGACCACTAACAAATGCTTAGCAGTCATCCATCCCAAAAGCCCTATCAAAGTCACCCTCATTTCCCGCAGCAAATGTGTGAAGTAATTTCAATCAGTGACACACGGCGCTTCCGTACCAGGAGACAGTGAACGGTACTTGCGAGAGTGGAGTTTCTTGTGGGGACACAGTATTATACACTGTTTTATGTACTTTAAGATCAGAAATATATGTGATATAGTCACATAAACCCATAATTCTAGTATTTGGAGGCGTAGGCAAGAAGAATGGAGAGTTGGAGGACAGCCTAGCCTATATGACACTGCCTGTCTCAAAGCAAACAAACAAACAAAAACTAAATTATCGATTTGTTCCTCTTTTTCCTCCTTCTCCTCTCTTTGGAAAAGAGATTAGGGTTCTTTGTCCCTTTCCTGGTGTGAGCTTCGTGTTTATAAATATGGCCGAGCTCCAGGCGTTCTGTTTCCTGGATTTCTCCGTCAGTGCTATGTTGTGGAATCAGCCATGTTCCTGTATGGGACTCTTACTCATTAACTCCTCTGGCAACTCCCCGTGTGTGCCCCAGATTTCTATCTGCGCAAACAATTCTGTGGTGAATGTCTTTGCACATCTTGTTTTGGAGATCGAAGGGACAGTTTTCTGGGCTCTGTGTCCAGGAGTGGAGTTGCCGGGTGGTGGGAAACACATATACTACATTTGGTTTCACTAATTAGCGGCCCTGTTTTATAATAAAGTCACCTAAGACTTGCTGAGTGCCTCCCATGAGCCTGGCGTGGTCCTGGGTGCCTGAGAACAGGAGAAGGGGGCAGATGAATATTCTTATTCCTCCCACAGGGAGGTGGTACATGGAACAGGTAGGTCAGGTGCTGCTGAGGCACAAATACAAATGGGAAGACAGACAAGGAAGGAAGCAGAGGCCAGGCTAAGGGAGGGCCAGGCATGTACGTAAAAAGCTTGGGGGCGGTTGGACAAGGAACTGAAGGAACTGGGGACATGAAGCATCCGGACTATTTGGGGGAAAGTTGGTCCAACTCGGCCCTGACATTTAGGTTGTATTTTCAACAGTCAGAACTACGCATTTAGTAACTTGGCAGAGTACATTTGACCTTTTCACGTAGACAGCTTACCATTGGCTCCTTAAGACATTAATTAGTCTTGATTTCTTCTGAAAGATGTCAAATCTTCTCAAGTCACTCAACTAGTCTAGACTTTCAGAACATTTTGATAGTAGCCATCTTGGATGAAAAGGAAACCAGGATCAGGCTCAGTAAATTCAGAGGAGGGATTTGTCTCAGAGAAGAGAAGAAAGAGGAGGAAGAGGAGAGGAGGAAGAAGAGGAGAAGGAGGAAAAGGAGGAGAAGGAAGAAGAGGAGGAGAAGGAAGAAGAAGAGGAGGAAAAAGAGAAGGAGGGGAGGAGGAGAAGAGGAGAAGGGGGAGAGAAGGAACAAGAGGAAGAGGAGGAGGAGGGGGATGAGAGGCTGACTTCTAAAATGTCCCTGAGTTCATAAAGATTCAGTCTATGTCCCATCCTGTGCCATCTATTCTTGCCTGTGGCTTGTGGGAATAATTGAGCCAGGCCCAAATCCTGAACTGTCGAAGAATTCCGATGTGGTCAGGATGGCCTAGGGCTGGCAGGGTTACAGGCATGGTTTGAAACACAGATGGGCCTTTGTCATTTCCAAGGACGGCCCCCAACTGCTGACATGTTTTTCCAGGCTCCTGGCTTGAACCTGAGTCACATGCTTTGTGGGCGGGCGTGTTCTTCCTGTGCACTTCCCTGCTTGGTGACTTTTATACAAGGAATCAGTCATAGAGTTAAATTTTTTCCCTCTGTGTATATATGTAGCGTATATATGTCTGTATGTGTAATGTATATGTGTATACATATGTGTGTTGTGTATATGTATGTGCACGTGTGTGTAGTGTATGTGTGTATATGTGTAGTGTATATGTGTGCATGTGTAGTGTGTGTATGTGTAATGTATATGTGGGTATGTGTGTGTAGTGTATATATGAGTATACCTGTGTCTAGTTAGTATTCATGTGTGTGTAGTGTATGTGTGTATATGTGTAGTGTATGTATGTGTAACATATATGTGGGTACGTGTGTGTAGTGTATATACGAGTGTACACCTGTGTCTAGTTAGTATTTATGTGTGTCTAGTGTATATGAATGTGCATATCTGTGTGAATGCCAGAGATTACTGTCAGGGTGGCTTCCTCTACTGTCTTTTGAGACAGGGTTTTGCCACTGAACCTGGAGCTCACTGATTTAGCCAAATTGGCTGACTAGGTGAGTCTCTGGGTCTCACCTTTCTCCACCCTCCCCACACTGGGGTCACACGCCTATGCCACCACACCCCTAGCTAACTCAAGGCCTCATGCTTGCACAGCCAGCATTTCCCACCGAGCCACCTCCCTGGTTCTAAGAGTTGGATCTCAACACAGCCAGGTTGAGGAGCTTAGGCCGACTTTGAGTGGGCTCTAGCTGTGTGGCTTCCACCCTGGTGGGTCCTAACTGAAGACGGTAGGTAAGTATACATCACGGAAACTCAGCTTCCAATTCCTTGGCTGCTAAGAACCGAATTTCTGTGCAACATTCGGTGCTGTAAGGTTTCCGGACAGCATTCAGGGCCTTTGTCTCTGACCTGTGGAATGAATGTTTGTTGTGCTCACGGGCATTTTGAAATCCAAGAATTTTTTTTGGAGCAGCTGCTTTTAGAGTTGAGTTTTGCTGACTGTGAGTTTTGGATCAGCTGCTCTGAGGAAAACAGTTGGTCCACTTGTTGTTTCAAGTCAAACCTTGAACGGTTTGTGGGCTTTTGAGCACGTGTACAGCAGGAGAGAGTCCTCTATACAGACAGAGGGGTGGTGATGCTTTCTGCCCCGCCCACTCCGCCACCAGCATGCTTTTTCTTGTAATAGTTGTCTGCCCCCAAATCACACTGAAGTAGCAGTTTTCGTTAGACTGATTGTAGGGCACATCTTAACAGGGGGTGCATCTTAACTGAGGAGGAAAGGGGTGCAGTTCCTCACCCCTTTCTGTGCCAAGTTTGCAGTTACCCTGAGCTTCCTCATTGAATAGTGTTCCACACCGATTAAATATGTACCCTAATACTAGTCACAGGTAAATCTTCCATTTTTCAACCGTAAGGAAACCACAAGAAAAGAGAACACTTTAGTGTTAGTAAAACCACGAAGTATATAAATTATCTGCTAAAATATTATTCTCTCCAGCATATTTTAAAACCCAAATTGCCATAAAATGAGGCTGAAAGATTGTGGTGTTAACATATTTAAAATATGCCCATATTAGTTAATTCAATGATTCTGTGCTTAAGTGGCGAGAAAAATGATAATGATTATCACTTTCTACTGTTATCAAACCTTGTGAGAGGGCTTGTTTTGGGAATGACAGATCTAAGCCATAGAAATTGCAATATACAGTCTCCATCTTTTGACTGTAAAAGATGCTAACAATCTTTCTCTTCGCTTAGGTACCCTTTACATCTACACCATTTGCCGAAAACTGATGGTCATAGGGCAAGCTTCCAAGGTATGAAATGTAATGCAACTCTTCCCTCTTAAGGCTTTCTTGATGCGGGATGTCTCTCTGTTTGCTGTGAAAATGTTTTATTACCATTGGTTAATAAAGAAGCCGATTTGGCCAATAGCCAGGTATAATAGAGCCAAGCGGGGAAATCAGGGAGATGCCAGCAGCTGCCGGAGAAACAAGATGCAAGGTAACAAGCTACGGGCCTCGTGGGAAAATATCGAATAATAGAAATGAGTTAATTTAAGTTGTAAGAGCTACTTAGTAATAAGCCGGAGCTAAACAGTTTGTAATTAATATTAAGCCTCAGAGTGGTTATTCGGGAGTTGGAAGGTGGAAGAGAAACCTCCAGTTACCCTTTCTGTACCATACACTGAATGCTTAGTCGAGCAAAGGCTATTCAGGGAATTATTTAACACTTAGTGACTATATGTGATAGAATGTATTGGTCTTGATTTTAATAGTAATCCTATAAAGTGAGGGCCACAAAGAATCAGTGTAAAAAATGGGCATTATTAGCATGGACAGGAATATTCTGGTGTCTCCATGTGCCAGACCCCACATTTGTCTGGCTTGATTCTCCGTCCTCTGGTTACTAGGAAAGGGGGCTATCCTTCCTGGCTGGCCCAGGACATTCCTGTTCATGCTGCTTGTCCCACAGTAATCATGAAGAGTGTCCTCTTGCCCTTGGTCACTCTGGGAGGTGTCTTGGTTTGCAAGATAAACTGTTTATATTATGGAGTCCTGGGGTTTTTCATTTAGGACTCACACCCAATCTGATTGAACAAACACTCTAACGCTCTAACTCCTTCTGCTGAAGGCAAGGGGACTTTCCAGTTATTGTTATTATTTTTATATGCATATACTGTATGTGTCTATGTATGTGTGTTCACGTATGTGCAAGTACCTGTGTCTATGTAGGCCACTGGACTATTTGGTATCACTCTTAGGAGTGCTGTCTACCTCCCTTGAGACATGGGTCTGGAGTTCACCATTGGAATAGACTAGCTGGCCAGCCTGCCTTGGGGATCCTCTGTCTTCATCCCACCGGTGTTAAGTAAGATAGTAAACACACATTGTCATTCTGAGATTCCTGGAGGCAGGATTGCCATTTCGGACTGAGGTTGAGGGAAAAGCCAGTGACTGACCGTTTTGTTTTTCTGACCTTCAGGTTGAACCCCAATTTCTGTCTCTGAGTTTTTATTAATTGTGCTATAATATCTGGCATTTCCCCATGGCCACACTGCCACGGCACAGCACCCTAAGAGCGATGACTGTCCATTCTCCTAATCGCTCCTGCCCTGCCTCTCTTCTTCTGGCTTACCTCCTCCACTGGAGGAGCTGTGTGGGAGGGGCAGATCTTTGTTCCTAAAGGAATCCGAAAAACCGAGACTGATAAAGGGCTTTTCCGTGGACGGAAGCCCCTTCATGTGTTCACCAGTGTATGCTTCTGTATCACGGGAGTCATCTACCTGAGCCTGTTATTCCGAACTGTCAGGTGACCCATTTGCTTTGGGTCACAGAATGCATCTAGCATCCTCTGAGGCATTTAAAGCAAACGTTAAAGAATATGCTAGCCAAAGTATGGAGGTACGCTTTACTTTTACAGGTCTTTCAGTAAAGTATTCAGCTTGCCCAGCGATCAAGTAGCTCATGTAGTATTACATAAACTTGAAGTCAACCTGGAGATGGCGCCTGACATAAACGTTGATATACAAGGCTGCAGTGCCATCCTGTGGCCAAGCTCATTTATTGTGTGTCTTTTCCTGCTGACACCTGAAGCATGCATGCTTTTGTGGGGACCACAGTTTAGATCCATCTTCTTTTAGGCTTTTTGAAGTTTTTTTTTTTTCTGGGAAGAAAATTATTGTGCTGTAGCCCATCCGTTATGAGATATAATTAATTCTAGCCTTTAGGGCAAGAGAAAAAAATGCTAAAAACTCAGTCTTTTCTCTCTCTCTCTCTCTCTCTCTCTGTGAAATGGCTTTTCATCTCCAAACTCGAAAGCAGGTTTTCCAGTAGGTTTGGCTCTCTTCTCTCCTTTGCCAAGGCTTCGCTGTGTGCAGGAAGAATGCTGTACTTCACAATTCAAAGACTTGAATTCCAGCTCCAGTTCATCTCTCTCTTAGATGGAGTTTACACTCTGTGAGTCAGATTAGGCTAGGTTGTGTTAATCTACCCTTGGTGCAGATGACAAGATGAGGTCTAGAGAGAGACAAATTGGGAGTGCAGCCTAAGTTTACCTGATTTCAGTCTGACTGTTTCTAATGAACATTGGAAGTCTGCAGTGATAAGCCCTTTCCACTTTGCCCATCCGCCAAAACCAAAATAACATACCAGTGCCACAGACCAGCTAGCAACTTTGAATAGCTCCTAGACTACAGTTCATACATGGAGCATGTTGCTGAGAATGAGTCCAGCTCAGAGACCACTTAAGGAATTATTCTAGAGCAATAAGGACACTCTAAAAAAGCTACTTTGAGATTTGGGGGCTTTTCAACTTAAGAACAAAATTTGGGGTGATGAGCCCTTGGTAAAGTACTTGCTTTACCTACATGAAGGCCTGAGTTTGATCTCCAGAATCCGTGTTTAAAAAGCAGCCAGGCACGGCTGCCCACCTATAATCCCTGCACTGCGCAGGTGGAGACAGGCAGATATTAGGTCGAGCTGGCCAGCAGTCCAGCTGAGTCAGTGAGGCCCAGGCTCAGCGAGAGACTGGGTCTCAAGAAATAAGATGGAGAGCAATTGGGGTGACACTCAATGTTGACTTTGGCCTCCACAGGCAAACACATACATGTGCACACACACCAGCATAGTGCGAACATGCACACACACATAAAACACTACTAGTTTTCTTTGCCCCACTCTTTATGGTACCTTTGATAGGGGCAGCCAGCAGTCTGCACGCATAGCTTAGGCTTCGGTGTTTCTAAATACTATCGGTATGGATCGTGTGAGAGATGAGGATCAACCCAGCTGTGCTCTCTGCTTCCTCCCCAGGCCGTAGAATACCTGCTGTGGGCCAGCATCTGCATGGAGTCCTCTGTCCCGTTGCTGTCCATCAGGTACCTGACCTGGAGAGCCACCCTTTACACGGCTGTCTGCCAGTGCCACTACGATTGCCAGGCCAGCATCCACGGGGAGGTACGTGGCCTCCGGGTACAATGTGTCTCCAGGGAACGCAGCAGCTCCAGGGAACCGAAAAGACCCGCTCTTATCTGAGGCATCTTCTCGGTTATTCTCTTTTGTGGCTTTCTCGTTCTACTTTGTGCTGTCTCCTCTTAACTATGGCTCTGTCATCTTGGGCCTTTTTTGTTCCTTTTATCCCTTGTGGTGATGGTGATGGTGTGTGTATGCATATGTGTATGTTTATCATGAATGTATGAGTGTATCTCTATGTATGTGTGGGTACTTGTGTGTGTATGTGTATATATATGTGTATGCATGTGTGTATGTGTGTATACATATGCACATGTGTCTGTGTGTCTGTGTATGTGTGTACGTATGTGTGCATATGTATGTATATGTGTGCGTGTGGGGGGGAGCAGGCACCACAGTGCATACGTGCAGGTCAGAGGACAACCTTGGGTGTTGGGCCTTTGTTTCAGACAGGGTTTCTTGCCTGCGATTGCTTATTCCAGGCTGCTTGGCCCCTGAGCCTCCAGAGCGCTTACCTGCCTCTGCCTCCCGTGTTGCCATAGCAATCCTGTGACAATACAGATGTGAGCTGCTGTGTCTGGCTTCACTTTGGTTCTGGGGGTTCAAACTGGGGTCCTCCTGCTTGTGCAGCCAGCCGTCTGCCCGTGGGCCCGCCTCCCCAGCCCTCTTTGTCTTCCCCCAGTCTTAGTTTCCAGTTCTCACGCAGCAGCTCCTTCCCTGCTCACTTTGAGACTCCACCGCTATCTATTATTACCTTGACTTCCCGCGGCCTCCAGGCTTATCATTTATATCTGGTCCCTCTTTTTTTTGGTACATCTTTTAGACCTAACATTTGACACGTAACAAGCTCCCATTGATTGGCACAGACTCCCAGCATGAATTTAAAAGCGTACTTCCTGCTGTACACGGTACTCAGTTGTCGGTGAATGTAGCCTCTGAAAGTAAGAAACCACACCTCTTTATTCCGGTTAAGGCATCCTTGTCCCAGGATGCTTGCCCAGTATCAGTGTGCCCTTAGCCCCTGGGCTCGGAGCCTGGTGTAAGACACAGCTTTCGTGGCTGTACTCACATCTACTCCTTATCCGTTCACAACTCAACAGACAGAATTTGGCCGGTAATGGTGTCTTACATCTGTTTTCTCCTGCCTGGGTTCATTCTGGACAGTTAGGGGGTAGCCGTCCCCAGCTAGAGGAGCAGCCGAATTCAGACCCTAGCTAGACTATTTTTATAGCACAAGATAATTCTAAAAGCTGCTCACCACAGAGGCATGTTTAACTCGGGTTCTCTAGGGGAGGCACAGCTTGCAACACGGCCCCTGCTATGATCAGGGATGGAACACTGGTCGTTCTGGTGTTTTGATTCTTATTGGTGTTAGTGCCTACTGGAAAATTTATACATTCCTTCATTCTAATACTGCAACTGGTCTGGAACTTTCATTATTAAAAGCTATGAGTGAAGTATTTTAAAAAAATGACAAAATCAATGGCATGTAATTTTGGAAGCCCGATGTGCTAGCTGTTGCCCTCTGGAGCCACCTGTGATGTAACCTTATGCTACTGAACTCTTCTCGAGGGCTCTTCTGAATGCTTGCTATTGTCTCTAGAGAACCATCACGTGATAGAACGGTTCCATGAGCTAGCCTGCCTTCTTCCTGCCTCTCCTTCAGGCTGCTCAGGATTCCTCTACGATGGGTATTGGAGATCTGAAAACGAAAACGGCCTCTTAGAGACGCCACACAGTAGTGGTCAGCGTGAGAGCAGTTCAAGAGATTATATCTTACGTTATCCTGGGAAGACTGAAACTTGAGAAGACCATCTCAGGATGGTGTATGTGTGTGCGTGTGCTTGCGTGTGTGCATTCAAGTGTGAGCATGCTTGTAGGCATTATTAGCGGAGCAGTCCTCTGTACAAAGGTTCTATCTGATCCACATTTTGGCTTTCTTCTAAAAATTCTATAATTCATAAAGTTAATGTGTCAGGATGTTTATTAACTTTAGATTTATAGAGCTTAACGGTGCTCATAGGAAATGATGGATTGGAGAGCTGGATAGGAGTCAACAGCAGCCAGCAGTTTAATTCATATTAAATCAAATGCCTCAGAATCAAAACACACCATTTTTATACATTTTTAATCACTATTCTCCAACTTCTTGTGAATTAAATTTGTTTTAATTGCCACACAGGCATTTGCCCGACGCGCATTAGCTAAAATTGACGAGTTAAGGCAACTGGAATTAATGAGTTCCTCCAAGTCTCAGGAGGACTCCCGAAGGCATTACAGAGAGGCCACGATAAAGGTATGAAAATTTCATGGAACGGAAGACATGTCCTGCATGGTGCTATTGATGGCATGCGCAGTCTTGGTGGCTGGGGCATGCGCCCTGTTGTCACCTCCATGGACGATTCTTCTCTTGGAGACAGATGGCTGTGATGATCTTCAAAAGAGGAGTGTTCGAGTCCAGAAGAAAGAACAAAGCCGTGTTCAGACCGAAGATAAGAATTAACCTAAAGGAAGCTCAGAGCGTGAGTCCCCGAGACCTTCCCTAGACGACCGTGTGCAGTATGCCCGGGCTGTTCCTTTGTCTCTTTTACGCCTAGTTACTAATGAGTGAATCCTGCCCTAGATTTAGAGCGATGGAATGCCATTCCAGCTGAGACACGGTCTCACAGCATCCATTTCATTTCTCTTTTTGTGCCTGACATCATCCCAGTTTTGCAACGCTAATGGGTGAGAGGCGGAAGATGAGCTCAGGAAAGGTTTGCATGAAAGACCTTTGCAAATGTGGACGGTCCTGGGAGGGTCTGCACGGGCCCTTGCCTGGACCACTTGGCCTTAGCTTTGAGGTTTTCTCATTAGCTTAGGTCTACCATGGGGAGTATCATGAACTAGACTGTTCGCTCGCACCAAACAACCCACACATCTCAGAAGGTTTTGAAATAATTTCCCACTGGAGTTAGGAGCCACCAGAGTCACCAGGGGGTCTGCTAACGGGCTGTTCACGATTAGGCCTGGGAGCAATTTTTATGATTTAGACACTGCTGGCGGATGGCAGAGAGTTTAGGGAGCTATGATGCCCGGCACGGAAGTGACATCCTCCCCCAGTACCCTAACTAGCCACACGGCCTCTCCCAACCTCAGCATTAAATACTGTCTTGGGGGAGTGAAGGAGATACTCTTTGTGGGGTCCAACGCTTTCCTCCCGTCCTCCCTTTCTTTCTTTAGTCTTCCCTGTTGCCTCTCTGAGTTCAGTGTCCTCTGGGCTCACGTCTTCTTCCCTGAAGCTCTTCTTGACGGTCATGGATGGCCTTGGGTAGCTCTCCTCTGGGACAGGTTATTCAGGGACTGGAGGAGCAGGTTCTGACAGAAGAGCTGCAGAATCTCCAAACCTGGAAGGGAGCTTGGAAACCACCTGCTGTGGCACTTTTCAACCATACAGGAAGATACCAGGGCTCAGGGCCACCCCTGCCCACTCCCCTGCCATGCCCTGCAGCACTGGAAGGTGAACCCGACTCCAAGGCATCTCATAGTGCCAACCCTAACTTCTCTCTCCACAGAGCTTGCACCATACAGGTCTGACCCCCTTTCCCTTTTAAATTAATATTTGCAAATATTATCCCGGGCCCAGGGCTGACCTGCTGTTATTTAGCATGACTATTTTGACTACGGATTCAGGAAGAGTTTAGATTACATACCTTGAATAGATTACATACCTTGAAGCCCTAGCCCACACTGCTCGATGCTCTCCAGTCGCTGAGGCTGGTAGCCCCCCACCCCCCCGCCCCCGCCCCGGCCCCTGCCCGCGGGCTGCTTGTCACTGAGCTGCTGGAGGACCAGCGCCTGGCCTCCTTTGGTTGCAATGCTGCCCCCTGTGTAATAGCGCAGGGACGATTTGTTTTCCCTTCTTGTAAGTCTTTTCCCTTGTGGGAACCAAATTTAGAAGTCTGAACCTTCAGGGCCGCCATACTGAGCACCCAGTCAGGAGGTGTAGTTATTCTTTTAGCAGAATTAAATATATCCTCCGAAAACGTTTACATTTCTAGATAAAATTATATTAAAATTCAGTCATTTGGGGTTTTTCAAAAAAGAAAAACCCCGCTTTTTGTTTGTTTGTTAGACAGAATCTCACTTTGTTGCCTGGAATTCACTAGCCCAGGCTGACTGTTACGTTCGCCAATTAGGGGAAAACAGCATTTCGTTTATGACACCTCTAATTATCAGAAGGCTTACTCTAGTATTTATATCTTTATTTATTTATTATTTTTTAAATATATTTTTAAAGCACTGTTTTAAGCTCTAGTACAACTCTTCAGAGGAGCCCTCACCTCTGCTGGGGGAGAGAGGACAAAGTATAGGCTTCAACTTTTCTCGAGGTTTTTAATGTCCGGTTGGCCTGCGGAATCAAAGATATAAGAGCTAATGGGTAGGGAAGCTAGTCCTGGGAAAACATGGCTCTAGGCAACTTTATCCCATCTCGGCCTTTCTTTCTAACTTTGCCTCTAGAAGAAGAAGAAATAAAGCAAGGGGATTATGGAATGTGGCTGGCATTCTCCAGCCAGGTATCAGATCCGGAGATGCCAACTTACAGGCACCAGCTTCCTTATTGGCAACCTATAGGCTGAGAACAGGCCATTTGTCAGAGGGAATAGTTTTTAAACACCCGGAGGTGAAGTCACTGAGTGAGAAGGAGGGTGGCTGGAAGCCTCCGGGAGGCCTAGGCAGCCACCGAAGCCTAGGCAGCCGCTTGCTTTTGATATACAGCCGATCAAGCTTTCCATTGCACTAACCACTGAACCCCTAGTTAGTGACACCTTAAAACAACACCTCAGATTTGAGTTCGAGGACATTCTGCGTGAGAATCTCCTGCAGCATTTACCAACACTGTGTGACCTAAACTCCCAGATTTTCTGGACATTTGGCCTTGAATCTAAAAGGGATCCCCAAGTGACTGTGAGGCCCCAAAGTTTGAGTATCAGCTCCCTACGGCTGTCACCAAGGCTCCACAAAGCAGGAGGAGACGATGCTACCTTGATAAATGACCACAGCAAATAGTTTTCTTATGCCGCCTTGGAAACACTGGGCGCGAGAAAGAGCAAAGTCTTTAGTGTAGCGACTTCCTTAAATGTCTGAGGTGATGTAAAAGGCCCGCAAACCGCCATCTCAGCGCCTCCTCCTACCTCAGCTCTAACTTCCCTCAGCACGAGGGAAGCAGGCAGTAGCCTTTGCCTCCTAGCCACTCGGGTTTTCTTTCTCATATCTAGATGATATGGCCACGGACGGTCACGGAACGGCTGCTGGATGAGCTATTTGATAGCACCTCGGCCCGCTTTCTGGCTGTCTTGGAAGCTCTTGCTGACTCGAGCAGGCGAATCCTGCAAACTGGACCTCTGGTGACTGACGAGGTGGAACTCCGTGATGTTGTCTCGGAACTGTTCATGGCTGGAAAAGAACTCTTGATACGTAAATAATATATTAATACTTTCTAGTGGAAACTGATCGCAAACACCTTTAGCATCATGGCCCATATATGAGAGATTAGTATCAAGCTTACAGATTGACCTTGAAGCCAGTGACCATGCTATAAATAATTCATTTCTAGGGTGTTTTTTATTTTCTAAAATATAACATTATCTTTGAGTAATGACAATTGCATTTCTTTCTTTTGGGATTTACTCTCTTAATTTCCTCCTTCATTTCCTCATTTATTGCACTGTCTGGAATCACCAGAAAACACGCTGATATTGTCCCAATTGACCATAGACGGAAAACCTTCAACGTTTTCACCAATAGTTCAGACATTTACTAAAGTGCTGTGCTGTATACATTCCTTTTTGTAAAATTCAGATGAAGAAACTTCCTTTATTCATAATTTTGATAAGGTTTCTTTTGTTCACGGGGATTATTCATATCCGTTCATACTGTGTATGTACGCGCGCACGCATGTGCGTGCACGTGCGTGCATGCGTGCGTGCTCGTGCGCTCAGCCAGGCCTGTGAAGACGAGAAGGGCTTCAGACATCGTTCTCACCTTTTTTTTTTTTTTTGAGTCAGGGTCACTGATTTTGTTAAACTGACAGGCCAGCTGCCCCAGGGATCCTCCTGTCTCTACTTCCTTAGCTCTGGATCACAGCGTGCCCGCCATGCCTGGCGTTTTACACGGATAAACTGAACTCGTCCTCATGCGTGAGTGGCAAGCCCTCCATAGACCGAGCCATCTTTCCCAACTCTCTTTCCATTCGCGTAGTGGTATCTATTGTGACAGAAATTATTTTTATTTCTATTTTGTGCCTGAGTCTTCTGCCTGCGTTTATGTCTGTGTTCCCCTCGTGTGCCTGGTGCTGGTGGACGCCAGCAGAGGGTGTCTGTTCCCCTGGAACTGGCATTACTGATGGTTGTAAGCCCCGGTGTGGGTGCTGGCCAGCAAGCCCAGGTCTCTGGAAGAGCAGCCATTTCTCCGGACCCCAGAAACTTTTAAATTTTAATGTAGTCCAGTTTGCCAATGCATCCTTTAGAGTTAGTCCTTTTTATTTTGTATTTAAGAAATCTCTGCTTTTTCGATGCCCCATGTTTCCTTCCCAATAAGTTCTAGTGTTTAGATTTTTTTTTTTTGCATAAGGTCTACATCCATGCTATTTCTGTTGCTATGAAGTAGAGCTCACCATTTGCTCACTCATGTGGCTGTCTAGTTGACGTAGCACCGTTTTTGAAGACGGCTTCCTTTCCCCGCTGATATCCTCACCCTAAACTTGGAGCTTCCGTGTACCCCGTTTCCTCACTCAGCCGCGTCCTGCCGTGAGGTGTCGGTTGTTGCCCAGCAACTGTCCACTCTTATTATTCCTGGGTGGTGTTCTGTGGCCCAGTGTGCCACGGTGTGTTTAACCGTTTGACGTGGAGAGATATTTGGGCTGTCGCCAGTTTGGAGTTGTTCGGAATAAAACTGCTGTGAATTTGGAACTTTTATTTGAGCATAATGTGCCACTTCTGTGGTCTAATTGCTCGTTCCTATTACAAGTGCATATTTAGTTATGGAAGAGATTGCTGTCATTCTCTCCAGGTTTGCTGTGCCATTTAATATTCCAGCCTGCTGTGGGTGAATGATGCAGTCTCATAGCAACGTTGACAACATTTTTTTTTTTATTTTAGTTATTCTTATAGGTGGGTAATGGTATCTCCTTGTATCTTTAATTTGCAGTTTTCCTAATGGCTAAAGATGTCGTACAGCTTTTCACTTGCCATCTGCAATCCTTTTTCTCTTGGCTTGCTTCCTAAATACACTGCCAATTCTCTTCTGGTCTGCACAGAGCCTCTGATTACTGCCTTTCTAAGACAACCAATAGTTTTATGAATGTGTGCTTCTCATGGTTACTTCCCAGTTTTCATTGCATCTGTCTAAATTTATTTCTTTTGGCTCTAGTCGAAACATTGAGGACTTGAAGCACCAAGGCAATAGATACAAAGTCTTACTGTTTAAGGCTTGTTTATTTTAGCATCTGCATACTGGATCTCCATGTCTTGTTTATTTTAGCATCTGCATACTGGATTTCCATGTCTTGTTTATTTTAGCATCTGCATACTGGATCTCCATGTCTTGTTTATTTTAGCATCTGCATACTGGATCACCATGTCTTGTTTATTTTAGCATCTGCATACTGGATCTCCATGTCTTGTTTATTTTAGCATCTGCATACTGGATCTCCATGTCTTGGGCACAAGGGGTTCTGTGGGGGAGTTTAAAGGTAGTTCAACCTCGTCATTTCATAGATTTTAGATTTTGTGCTTTTATCTTTCTTATGTTATTCTTAGGTTTGATCACACTGGGTCCAGTGATACAGGAGGCATTTCGATCTCTTGTCATATATATATGACAAGATATATATATATAATTTCCCATTACTTTTCGGTCCTTCTCTGTACCTACCTTTCGTTCTTCAAAACAAATGTCAAGATTTTTATAGTCATCACCAACCTCCCACCTTATTTTTTCCCCTCTTTTTGTTCCATGTTATTACTTCTGAGAGCGCTTCTCAATGTGAATTTCCCGGTCACTCATTTTTTGCCTTATTTTTTCCTGTTCTGGCCTTCTGTCCACCGACTGCGTTCCTACTCTCAGCACTGGTAGACTCAGGATGCAGTCTCCCCTTGCTCCTTCCTCACTCCACGCTTCTGGGAGAAACACCTATGCTCTCATTCTCTCCGTTCTATGTTTCTGCTTCCTGTGGTAAAGGATGCTTACTTTGTGGGTTTTCTTGGAAAATACTTGCATGTTTAATTTTCTTTCCACATGACCTTACCTTCTGCGGCCTTGCAGCAGTCAGCTGACCTTTTTTTTTCTTCAAGACAGGGGTTCTCTGTGTTGTGGTGCCTGTCCTGGAACTCACTCCGTAGATCAGACTGCCTCTGCCTCCTGAGTGCTGGGATTAAAGGCGTGTGTCGTCATCACCTGGTAGTAGCCAGTTAATTTGGCTCTGATTTCTACCTAGGAGGAGACACAGGAAGCCAGATGTTCGCTTGTGTAACTTTAGATTATGTGTGTGTGTGTACCTGAAGGCAGTGAGCCTCTGATCCTGCACTTTAATGAAGGCCTCATGTCTTCATTTGAAAAGTCCTGAGAGAAACTCGGGGGATGGGGGATGATGATCATGATCAGAATTTTTTTTTTTTTTTTTTGGTTTTTTGAGACAGGGTTTCTCTGTGGTTTTGGAGTCTGTCCTGGAACTAGCTCTTGTAGACCAGGCTGGTCTCGAACTCACAGAGATCCGCCTGCCTCTGCCTCCCAAGTGCTGGGATTAAAGGCGTGTGCCACCACCGCCCGGCTCAGAATATTTTATATATAAAAAAATCTGTTTTCAATTAAAAAATTTCTCAAGTGAGAGTGACATTGCTGTGAAGAGACACCATGAGCACAGCGACTCTTATAAAGGAAAGCATTCAATTGAGGCTGACTCCCAGTTTCAGAGGTTTAGTCTATTACCATTGTAGTGGGAAACAAGGCAGCATGCAGGCAGACATGGTGCTGGAGAAGGAGCCAAGCCTTCTTCATGGAAACTGTGTACCACACTGGTTGTAGCTTGAGTATCTGAGACCTCAAAGCCCACCCCACAGTGACACACTTCCTCATCAAAGCCACACCTACTCCAACAATGCCACACCTCCTAATAGTGCCACTCTCTATGGGCCAAACACTCAAACACATGAGTCTATAGGGGCCATTCCCATTCAAATGCCCACAGTGAGAATTTCTCTGATCTCATCCACTCAGATTCTAAAACTCACCTCATCTGCACATACCCTGTACACAGCTTTCATTGAAAAGGGAGGACTATGTTTCCACTTCTTCATGAAATCAGATTCTTCCAAGCACTCCCTGTATCCTGTATCCTCTTTCGTCTTCTTCCCTGGGTGTCTGTGAGCTGGTCAGACATGCCAAGAGAATTGCCCGTGTCCACTGCTCTCAAGTCTTTCCTTCTGCGTATGCATCAGGCAGCCCCTGCCCCTCCCATGTTACCGAAAAACTCATAGATGGCCTCCTTTGTGCTCCGTGGAAGCTCACTCCACAATGCTTTGCTCCCACACTGTTCTGTAGGTTCTGTAGCTCTAGCTCCTGTCGACTCTCTCTCGCTAAACACTCTCCTTGGCAGCCTCCTCTCTCTCTGCCTTCTCTTATTTAATGATGCTTGCATGCTCATAGCTGATCCTGCTGACGGCTGTGAATATATATATATATATATATATATATATATATATAGCTACTGGTGACCCAGAAAGTCACCCTCCCTTCTCTAGGTCTTGTTCTTAATGTCAAGCTGCCCACGAGGCTAATTCACCACGGAAGTTCTTTATATTTTATACTCCTTCGACTCCTCTGCTTTAAAAATAGATTTACTTATTTTTATTTCATGTGTATGGGTGTTTGGCCTTAATGAATGTGATTGCACCATGTCTGTGCCCTGTGCCCTGATGTCTACAGAGGCCAGAAGAAGCCATTGGATACTTGCATTGTAGACAGCTGTAAGCTGTCATGTGGGTGCTGGCAACCATCCTGGGTCCTCTGTGAGAACATCAAGTGTTCTTAACGCCTGGGCATCCCTCCACACTGTCATGCTCTTTCTTCTGAGTGGCTTTAGGAAACGTTAGATGTCCTCACTATCTGTCTCCATAACATTGTGCATTTCCCCACCTAGGTTTCTTATTTGGCCCACTACCCTGCAAAGTCGGTGACAATGAGGCTGGGGACTGGGGCCATTTCTTATCATTGTTTTTCTAGAGCCTGATAGTGTCTGATGGCTAATGTCTGATAAATGACTCTTTGCATGAATGGCATCCAGACATTCCTCTCTCCTTTTCTAGTTTCAAATGTTGGAGCAAATGGGAAACTTGATTTCCCCAAAACGGGAAATCTCCTGGAGCATGTGATCGAAAGGAAAAATGTCATTTCCTTGCGTGCTGCTGTGAAATTTGCAAAATTGGCATTCACTTACGAAGAATGGGGGTTATTTGAATCACTAGCTGCACAGCTTGTCCGCTTTCTCCAGGTAACACGGGCAAAGCTCTTCATGTGTTTTTCCATTCTGCTGAAATGGCGTTGACTTGCTAATTACCTTGCGGGATCTGTCTTCTCAGAAACAAGAGAGCCCTGCGTTAAAGAAGGCCGAGAAGGATCTCATTCTCCTGCTTGCGGTAGAACCACTGATCAATCTAAAGAAAAACAAAGGCCTTATCTTCCCTCTGGAGAATGATAAGCAGGGACAGTCAGTTCACATTTATCTAAAGCATATTGCTTGTCACGGTGAGTATTTCATGTTCAAGGCTTAGGGGTGGGCCTGGTGCCTGAGCGTCTGGCAGAGGTGACTTTGTGGTCGGGAGCAGTGGACTAGGCGTGTGGGAGGTCAGAAAGACCTGGGTGACAGGCCATGTGGTTCCTAGTCACATGAGGACATGCATGTGACTCTGGAGCCGCTTTTGGCACACGAAGGAAGTCCTATGTAGGTGTTAGCGTCAGTGGGAGATGAGCAGGGCTGCTGGGCTGAGGGAAAAGGGGGATGGGCCGGGCTGAGCAAAAAGAAAGTTCGCTTGCGTCCTTCTCTCCAGCGTTCAGGATTTTCCATTCTAGGGCATCAATGACTTATGCACCATCGTCTGCATAATTTATCATCTAGTCTGCTTTTAGATCAGTAAGATTCATTTTATTTTGTGTGCCTGTGTTTTCCGTCTTCTTTTAGGCATCACATAGCCGCTCACTTGCAGTAAACCATTTGTGCCCATAGTGATAGACTTCCCTCTTCTATTGGTACCAGAATAAATACTTGTATACTTTTCTCCAGCTGCTACATCTTTAGAGTATTCTAGTATTGCAAGCCCCTTCAGTTTCCCTCTGGACATAGGTGACACACATATTGTGGATTAATAACCAAAACACTAGTCTATTTCATTGAATTCTAGCTCCTGAGATTAATTTTCACACGGACGCATCTTAAAAAGCTTATTGGCATGCTAAACGGTCCAGCTGCCATGTGTGCCGTTTTGTAAACTTGGTGTTTTGTACTTAGTCCTTCACAGCCGCTATCCTGCCCCTCATCTTCTCTGCCTTTCGTCTGCAGAGTCTTGTGTGAGGAGCTGTGGATACTCAGAAGATATTTTCAGTTTGGCAGCCATTCTTCATTTCTGTGTCTGTGTCCCTTCCAAGGTGAGGTAACTCTTTTAAACACGTTGTGACAGTGTGGAAGGAAGATACCTTTTAATAGTCTGGTCTAGCTTGAGGCCAGGTCTAAAACATGGCAGGATCTGCTCGTCAGGATGCTTCCTTGAGCTGGTGGCTGACTTGGAACTCTCAGTTTCTTTCCGTTGCCATCACTTTGGGTGTCAATCTGCTTGCTCCTTCGGGGAAATGTCTGAGGCTGGCTGTGTTTCATCCAACGAGCAGGGAACCCCGCAGTGGTTCTGGGGAAGAGTGGATGTGTTTAGTGCAGCACGGCCACGGTGCCTTTCAGTCCTCCAGGGTGGCAATGTCTGCTTCTTGTCCCTTTTCACATAGTGGCCAGAATTTAAAAATGGCCCACGTGCATTGGGTAAGACCAGTGTCTCAGGCCTGCCCCAGTTCCCAGTTTTGGTTTTGAAAAGAGGGACTTAGTGTTCTCAGCCTCCTGTGAACGCAAGATCTTGATATGCTGTTCTTCCGGGTGCTGGGAATCCAGACGTGACGCAGTATAGCTCTCTCTCTCTCTCTTTCTCTCTCTGTCCTCTCTCTCTCCTCTCCCTCACTTCCCCCTCTCTGTCCTCTCCCTCTCTCTCTCTCTCTGTCTCCCTCTCCCTCTCCCTCTCCCTCTCCCTCTCTCTCTCTCTCTCTCTCTCTCTCTCTCTCTCCTCTCCTCTCTCTGCCCCCACCCTCTCTCTGTCCTCTCCCCCCTCTTTCTCTCTCTATTCCCTCCCTCCCTCCCTCCCTCCAGGGCAGGGAGGGATTGACCCTAGGGTCTGACTTGACACATTCTCTACCACTGAGCTGCACCATCCCTGGTCTTCTGTCACTACTTTAAAATTTGGATCCGAGGGTCCCCAGGGTGTCTCTGAGCTTCCCTGGAAGACAGTTTTGAGCAGTGGTACCCTAATCCTTTTTCATTACTTTTGTGTAGAATATGGGAAGAGTCATGACGTTTCATTTGAAACTTGGGTTCATGGTTAAAAAAAGCAGAAACTCATTGTAAAGTTTTGCATTACTCTTTTCTTAGGTAAATGAAACAGAATAGGGGATTAAAATGTGCTTTACTCTTACGGTATTTCTGTTTCTTCTGAATTTATCAGAGTGTCTTGGAACCTGTGGTAGATTTTTCCCCCCTCTCGGTGCCTGGGATAGACCATAGGGCTGAATGTAGCTCTATCCCAGAGCTACCTCCCCAGCCCAGCTTTTCCTTTTGATTTTGAGACAAAATGTCATTAAATTGCCAGGCTGGTCTTGGAGCTGAGGTCCTCTGTCTCAACCTCATGAGCAGGACTAGCTGGGATTATAGGCCTGCATTAGTGGACCCTGCCAGGTATTTCATTTTGAAAGACAGGCAGAAAACATAATGATTATAATCAGTGAACTTAACAAGAAAGAAAAATCAAGGCTTAAAGGGCAAAGACCTTCCGCTCATGCATTTAAAAATAATCCATGCAATGTCTTAGTTGAGCTCAGGTTGACTCCAGGCTGAGCACATTTGCCGGTGTCTGGGCTCTGCTCAGTTCCCTGTGCTGCAGGGAGGTGTGACACACACCACACTCAATCTCGGGGCGTCCAGAGGGCCCCACATATGCTTCATTTTAGTCATAAACTTCATTTACCTCCCAGTTCAGCTACGAGTCCCCTTTACTTCTGAAAAGAGCTAACTAATTAGGAGATAGGCCTGTCCTGGGCAGTGTGTTGATGCTCACGTGGGGATCTGCTCAGTTTTGCTCAGTTTCTCTCCACTTATCTGTGGGGGAAACCCGGTGGGTTCTCTCTGTCTGTTAATGGGGGTGACATGAAGGCACTGGCCTTAGCGCACTGATTGATGAGGGGTGGACGATCTGGGACACGTGAAACTTACAGGAGTGTGTGTGCCTGACACACAGGGTACCTTATGGGCATCCATCTTCCTCTTCTTACTGACGAACTCATCATCTTCGTTTTTAGGGTGAGCAGCCTGACAGGGATATCATTGTGGACATAATAACCTTCTTATGGCAGAAATGCAAGCTGGGAATCCAGAGGATCAGCATGTCCAAAGGCGACTTCGCAAAATACTCCCACAAGATCAGCTCTAGCAAAGTACTCCCTTTTCTTTCATGAGAATGTTTGTATCTTAATTTTTTAAACTCAAGTTGAGTCCACATTTCCAGTCCAGACCTCCCCTCTGATCTACCCCCTAAGTCCCATCCTTTCCAGATGTGTGAGGTGGGAAGCTGTTCTTTGTGTGCTTACTGAGACCTTCCTGGGACGTGTGCTGCCGCGCCCTGGCCCAGTTTGGTTTCAAAGAGTGGAAAACGGTTTCATTTTTAAAGGAAGGAACACATTCAAGTCTAGGCTGCGTGAGCTTGGGTGGCATTCATCAACAGGAGTGATAGTATGAGCACCAATAAGACGGAAGCACCAGGGTGCTTTCCTTCCCTTGATAATATATATTAGTGTGCTCCTTGGTAACATTCACTGCTTAGCAGAGCTGTTTGCCCCATTGGAAAGGGAAAGCAGGGGATTCGAGCATCATAAAACTGGGAACTTAGATAAAATATTTCAGGACAGGCTCCAAAACCACGGAGAAACCCTGTCTCGAAAAAAAAAAATTAAAAAAATATATTTAGTAATAAATGTTTAATTTCTAGTGTGCCTGAACTTCCTACAAACTATTGTACTGATCCAACATTTTGGTCATGTTCTCTATTAAGTGATGATTTGGGTAGATAAATACTGGTCCATCGTAGCTCTGAGAGAATCCTGATGGGTTATGCTTTGGGGATACAGTCCCGAAAGTCAATTTCTGAGCACCTAGAGTGGGGCCAGCACCCGCCCACTTGGCTGACTTTGTATTTTGAGAATATAGCGAATATTGATGCTAAGGAAAAGTAACCTCATAAAGTTTCCATAGCTACAGGCATGCACATTATAAGCAGGTGGACATTTATGCATGTTTGTAAATGCATCCATTGTTAAATATTTTATTAAAGTCACTTTATGTTGTTGATGATTGAGATACATTAATAAGGAGGCCTAGGTACTACTTGGCTGTGGTCAGGGCAGGATCAAAGAAGAACTTAAACTGAAAACTTTGCCTCTTCATATACAGTATCCTTCTAATTAATTTTGATTGGCATTTGCCTTCCGCAGTGGGTGTATCTCCTGTGGCAGATAAGCGAAGTGATTCACTGCTACCGGCTGGAAGATTTGGACATCGTGATGGTGGCAGAGATCACCTTACGATTAAGTGAAATATTAGAGTCTTTGGGAAGCTCGAAAAGAAAGTTCAGAAAGTCTGCAGGTGAGCGATGGGGTGAAATGCACGGTGGGATTGTTAGCATGCGCATAGACACAGTAATGATGTGGACATGTATTAGAATTCAGGTAGCTGCCAGGAGCAGTTACCGCTGCTGCCCTTCAGGGCTGTGGCATGGCGCCCGGTCTTCCTCTTCAGAATTTTCATCGTATCCAACAGGATAAGTAGGGGTTGTTTTTGTTTTCAATGAGATGAGGTCTCAGTTAGCCCAGGCTGGCCTTGAATTCACTGTAGCAAAGGCTGCACTTGAACTTCGGATCCTTTCCCCTCTACCCCAGGTGTTGGGCTTGCAGACCTGTGTGACCATTCCTGGCTCATTTTCCTGCCTTTCTACAGTTCGTGATTTCCTTTTCCAAGTTCCTTGCCTTATATTTACTATCTTATTATCTTCTTAGTTTACAAGTCTAAAAAAATATTTTTTTTGTTTTTTCTGCAGTCAAGAGATGTTTTCTAGATTATCCGTTACTGAAAGCAAAAAAACCAAAATGGCCCCATCTTCAAAAGTCTGTTTCTCATTCAATTGCATTGTTTCGTGTATGAGTTACTTTTGGAAGATAATTGTTTTACACTGTTCATAACCAGGCTAAATACAGCCTGAGGTGTTTATTCTTTGTTAAGATATTTCCATCAATATTGGAATATGGCCTATTTGTGAATTAATATGTTGTTTAGTTGGAATCATTAAGTATATTTTTAAAATAGGAAATGTAGTGTTGCCTTAAAGTACTTAACAAATTTTATTCCTTTAGCTTGGACTAGACGTCTCTGGTACTTGTCCAAGTCCATAAGGCTGTGCCCTCTTTTAAAGGACTTTATAGCAACAGAGGGAGGACCACAGTCATGCCACTGTCTTGTTGAGAAACACAGTTCTTGAGTTTTTCTAAAGATTATTTTATATAAGTACAACTTTAAGTACACGAAAGAAACATTTTGATATCTTGTCAAATTATGATGATGAGTAATTTCTAAATATTATTAATTTAAAAAGATAACTGATTTAGTAGACTAGTTTAATAACCCAGAATCACCCCTGTATTTCTATTTTGTCTTCCCCCATCCTTCTGTATTTCCCTTTGGTATTTGCTCTGTCTTGCTCTCTCTTTTCCTCATCTTTCTCTTTTTCTCTCACGTCCTTTCTCTTTCAGATTTATCTGCAAAAAAGGGGCCTGAGGAATTCCCTGGGACTTCAAAAGGGATCCCAGAAGTCCTTCCAATATTAAAGGTACTGATTGCAGTATTGTTATATTATGGAAATTATAATATATAATATTAAAACATGCTATTACATTATTATGGGAATTATAATATATAATATATAAAACAGTATTATTTTTTATGTTATGGAAAGCACTGTTAAAAATGTGAGTTTTTATTTTCAGTATAGAATTTATAAATGTATAGTGGTTCATTGTAGAAATGTCTCCGAGTGTTGAGGCTTTAAGAATTTCTGTTGCTGTGTACTGGTCACTACAGAGACACCCTCCCACTGGGCCTTTCCTCTAGAACAGGTACTACCCGTTCTACACAAAAGTTTAAGGCAAGAACATAGGGAGTCTTCACGTGTGAGTCTCTGTGTGGGTTTACATGCATGAAGACAGTGCCTGCAGAAGCCACAAGAGGGAGTGAGATGACCCAGAGCTAGAGTTACACAGTTGTGAATTGCTGGGGGAAGGAGGTGTTGGTCACCTCTCCAACCTCTTGGGACGTCTTGCTGTTACACCACTGCTTGTTTGCAGACGTCCTGAGTCACAGATGTAAAGAGCGGGATGCTCCACTCAGCTCATGCCTCCGGAAGGCTGAAGGAGTTCTTACCTGATTGACATGCACCAAGGATGCTGATGGCACTCAGGAGTGCTTAGTCAGCTCTATGTGGAAGGCGGAAGGGTGCGGAGCTACACGGATGCTTCTCATTGTTTGCTTTTCTTACAAGATTTGAATTACTTCTGTACATGACCATGGCTGTCTAGATCTGAATGGAGGTGCCTCATGTACACAGCCAACATCCATCTGTTTAGAGGCAGTGCCCAGAGCAATGCATGGGGCCTTCCCTCTGTGATTCTGGTTCTGTGCTTCACGAACAGAAGTCATGGCGAACAGCCATGATGATTTTAATTAAACACAATAGGTTCCTGTGCTGTGGAATTTCCCAGGGGTCACTTTGCCTATCAGCTGTGTGATTTTCTAAGGAGATGTAGAGTACCACGTGTTTTATTATTTGAGAACAAAACACCTCTTATTCATTGTGGAGCATTTACTCAGGGCCCCGTGTTTTATGGATGTCTTTTAAAATGTTTCCCTAGAGAGGAAGCCAGTGAATATTTTGACTTGTCTGATAAACTGTCGACTAAGTTATGAAAATTGCACTGACATTGGGGAGAGTTTAACAATATACAAAACAAAAATATGCAGCTTTACTGTCTTGATATCCTGTGCTGTTTTCCTATGCCCTCATGCCCTCTTTCAATCTACCTCATATATGTATATCATATATGACTTTTGAGACAGGGTTTCTCTGTGGCTTTTTGAGCCTGTCATGGAACAAGCTCTTGTAGACCAGGCTGGCCTCGAACTCACAGAGATCTGCCTGCCTCTGCCTCCTGAGTACTGGGATTAAAGGCGTGCGCCACCACCGCCCAGCTCATATTTATAACATGCAGCATTCTATTGCTTTGTAATACCATTCTGGCAGCACTTGCCCTGTTGGTTGCTATTAGCCCTCCTCACTGCTAACCTTCTGGAAACCTCTGAAGATCATAATGAAGCTTAGAAACTGAGTATTTCTGGATAGCTTCCCTTGGGACCCCTGATGGATTGGTTCTGGGATCCTCACAGGTGCTAACGTCAGTGGGTATGTGGTCTCTTGTGTGAGGTGATACCATGTTTATATATAACCTGGGCATGCCCTCATGCATGCTTTACAGTCTCTAGGTTACTTTTAATACTGAACACAGTGAATTATGTAACTAGTACTCTGAATTGTTTAAAAATCAATGGCAAGAAAATGTCTGTATATGCCCAGAAGGTTCAGTGTTTTCCTGATTGTGTGTGTGTGTCTCTGTGTGTGTGTGTGTGTGTGTTGATGGTCCTCTGCTTCCTTCAGGGCATGGAGAAGGTCTCAAACAAAGTTTGACCTGACTCCCACCTTCTTCTTCCCCTGCTTGCCTCACAGGTCCATATCCCAGACTGCCCTGTTCCTGCCCTCCCAGATCTAGTTGACCCCCAAATATGGGATATCTCCACCCCAGTGATCACTACCCGCCACCACTTGATCCTAGTTCACCTTCAGGACCCCTCTTCCTTCTCCTCCAGACCCCAGTTTTCCATTTCTGAAACCCATCACCTCGGCCTCAAGTCATTATTACCCCCCTCCTATCTCGGTGACTCCTAATCCCTAGTGACTTGCCTTGCAACACCCCCATTCCCCTGGTGCGTGCCCTCCAGTGCCCACCTCTTAGTTCAGTGCCCACCTCTGCTTCATCATTCTGATTCACCTCATAGTCACCAACCCACTTCTTCTCCCTTCCTCTGGGGGCCAGCTTCCCCTTTATGCCTGGCTGGTCACTAATATGGGACCAGCCTTTCTCATTTGTTTATGTTTTCTTCTAGCCCCTTGCCTTCTCTTCTTCCTCCAGGAATGGATTCGTGAGGTCTCCAGGGTGGCAGTTAACCAAATACTCCTACATTCCTTCCTCCTTTGAACAATGGTCCACCAACTCCCAACTCCCCCTCCCCAAGTAATCCCATGCCAACAGGAAGTAGCCAAATTGGAACCAGTGCCCATATATACAAACAGGCCGGAATGTTTGGTTGGAACCCCTGCTTGTCCCTGCACAAGCAAGAGAAACTTCCCCCAACTCTGTCTGCACCGAGGAAACTCTGAACAAAGGGATGGTGCCAATAGCCCAGTTCTGCATTTCGGGCAGCCGATGTGACCCACCTTTCTGATGTGGCCGGCCCACTCCAGTGCCCACCCAGGAGTTTAGCTTTTGACCATACATGGGCATAGTCTCAGTTCCTGGCTGACATGTTGTCACCGCTCCCTAAGATCTCTAAAATCTCCCTCCCTTAGCCTGGGTGTGCCACTTCCCTGGCCCCATTCTTTGTGACATAGACCAGCCTGGGAGCAAATAAACCTGCATCTGTCTGCTTTTAATCTGGGCTGATCTGGCCTGTTACATCAGCAGAAACCTAGCAGTTGAGCCCAGAGATTAGCCTTAAACGTGGCTCCACAGGTGAAACCCACTTAAAAATGTTTAGTGTGTGTGCGCTCGCGCATGTGTGTGTACGCGCACGCACGCATCACGGAGCATGTGTGGAGGTCAGAGGACATTTTGTGGAAGTTGGTTCTCTCCTTCCACAATGTGGGTCCTGGGAACTGAGCTCGGGTTGCCAGCATGACTGCAAGTGTCATTACTCACTGAGCCTTCTCACCAGCCCTGCAAGTACTTGGCTTCAAAGGGACAGTTCATCTTTCTGCCATACCCGGTAAATCCTAGGAAATTTAGTGCCAAGCAACTCTCATAAAAGGAGCTGTTGTGAATTGACCTTCTCAAATGAACGTTCGTTTTCTAATTACGAGGTCCCAGGGGTACACATTTGAATTCTTTGGTTTTAATTGCACCTTATGGGGAGAGCTAGATTTAAGTGATTTCACGTTGGGAACAGAAACTGGCCTGCGTGAGGGGCAGAGGAGGCATAATTGTCCAACAGTGGTTTGCCCAGGGCTCCCTTGCAGCGCTTACACAATATGCGGCTTCTTGCTTCTCACTTCAGACACAATCAGTCATAACTTCAACTCAGGAAGGTTCTTAAGGACACTTGAGTTTGAGAGTGACAGGTGTAGCGGACCAGCTCTTGTTCTCCATGCTGTTATGGGGAGGGCACAGGAACCCACGGGGAAATTATAAAGGGCTTGGCTTTTTGGCTTGAACTTTTGTACCAAGCGAAGCCACTAAATGAATGGATTTCTTAGGTGCCGTTTTTTTTTTCACAACAAAGGATATCCCACATCACTCCTGAGTGTATGTGTGCACCTGCACACACACACACACACACACACACACACACACACACACACACACACACACACTCTTAGTGCTTTTGGCTGAACAATAACCTAGATGACTAAAACATCTCCCTTCTGGAAGATGCCTTGACATTTTGGGCAAAACTGAACAGAACTTCAAATACATTGCATAATTCATAAGAAAGCAAGGAAAATTCTAGAGGCCAAACAAATAGGAAGTGAAAACCAGCCTTCTGAGCATGCAGGTGAGAGCTTTAGCAGATTGCTGGGCATGCAGGTGAGAGCTTTAGCAGATTGCTGGGCATGCAGGTGGATGCTGCAGCAGGTTGCTGGGCATGCAGGTGGGTGCTGCAGCAGGTTGCTGGGCAAGCATGTAGATACTGCAGCAGATTGCTTGAGCATGCATGTGGATGCTGCAATAGGTTGCTGGGCATGCAGGTGGATGCTGCAGTGTATTGCTTGAGCATGTATGTGGGCGTTTCAGCATATTGCTTGAGCATGCAGGTGGGTGCTGCAGCAGGTTGCTGGGTAATCATGTAGATACTGCATCAGATTGCTTGAGAGTGCAGGTGGGTGCTGTGGTGGGTTTCTGGACATAGTTACAAACAAGCATAGATTTTTTTAAAACAACTATCTAGAAGAAGGAGATAAAACTTCAACTCAGAAAAGATGGAGTTGTCATTGAGCCTCTCCATAAAGTTAGAACTTACAGACTCCATCCTAGAAGAAATATACTGTAAAAGTATATTAGAAGAAAACATTGGTTTTATAGGGAGATATCTCAGATTTGGTCCTGAGAGGAGGAGAGAATGGGAGAAAGGCTTTCACCCCATTGATTCGCAGCCTTGGTGGTGTCCTCAAGTTGCTTTGTTATTTGAACGTGTAACTTGAGTCATTGGAAACCTCCCTGAGCCTGTGACTTTTTGTGGGGATGGGTTTGCTGAATGATCAAACCATGCATATCCAGGGAAGTGAGGCCGATTCAGTGTTAGCACGCTGTGATGCAGTATAGCACATCCCATATTAAAGAGCAAAGAAAAACATGGCTGTATCAGTCCACAATGAGATGCAAATGAGGCATTTGACAAAACCAGCTGCCAGCCTTTCAAACCAAAACTCTTAACAGCTGGAAATAGAGGTCTCTTACCCAATAAGGCACATTATCCAAAGACTGTCAATTAGTGTCACAGCTATGGTACAAGATTAAAAACTGTCCCTTTATTCTGATATAACCACATACAGGTAGCCACCATTTTTCTATTAAACATGTTTTAGAAGTCTTAGATGAAGACTGTGAACCAGAAAAAAAAAAAAGCAGTAGAGACCGTACAGGAAGCGATAATTTGGTTTCAAGCACAGACACAACTCATTGCAGGGCATTTAGTTCTAACGGCCTCCAGGTCCATCAGCACGTTTCATGAATAGTGGCGACATGGTCTTCAGGACGGCTCCTTTCATCCTACACAAACATGAGTCAGCTGGGCATCCTTGCTTCCTATCTGTAGGATAGTCACCTTGGGATGACAGGGAACTCCTGGAACCGTATCTGCAGCCTGTCACTTCTGTACAGTCCTAGGTGGCTGTTCTTCTAATGAGGAACATTTGATTGATTTTGTAATGAGAGGTTCTTATTCTGCAGTAGCGGAAGGAAGATGGGGTTTCACTAGCCATATAGAACATGCTCTTGCCACTCAGACCACTGTGGTGGATGTTTGAGGTTATTGTTGGCTGTCTCTCAGGTTTCCTGAGACACTCTAAGGAAGCTCTTGAGAATGGCAGGAGGTCGACAGAGATGACTCGGTTAAGAGCACTGCCTGCTCTTCCAAAGGTCCTGAGTTCAATTCCCAGCAACCACGTGGTGGTTCACAACCATCTGTAATGAGGTCTGGTGCCCTCTTGAGGAAGAGACCGGATCAGTCATCCTCATCCACTTAGACCATGAAACCCAATGTGGACAAGTTCAACAGAACTGCCATATACGGGCTGCCCATGCATGCTGCAGCATTGCTAGGGCATTAAAAAAAAAGTTTTCACCAACAGTTGAAAACCATGGGGAACCTGCGATTCTGTGCTTTGAGCTCCTTTCTGCTGAAGGTAGTTACAGAGCTCGTGGGGCATAACTACACTTTGCCTGAGCCACAAAGGTACCAACACCATCCTGAGCCTGTGGTCGAGTGAAGGAAGCATCCAGAAGAATTCATGATGGGGGAATCAAAATGCATTTGAAAAATTAAAAAAGTGGAGTTAAATATTGGTCAAGGCACCTGCATGGTGAGAGAGGTAAAAAAAAAAAAAAAAACAAACCATCAGATAGGGCTGGAGAGATGGTTCAACGGTTAAGAGCATTGCCTGCTCTTCCAAAAGTCCTGAGTTCAATTCCCAGCAACCACATGGTGGCTCACAACCATCTGTAATGAGGTCTGGTGCCCTCTTCTGGCTAACTGTATACATAATAAATAAATATTAAAAAAATCAGATAACACAAATGAATGATTAATAAAAAAGACTCAGTGGCTCCTGTTGGGGCAGCGAGGCAGAGTGACTCTGTGGTTGGCAGTCCAGGGGGCCTTGGTTTTACCTGTATGTGTGAAAGATTCAGAGAAGGGCGTTTGGACATGGCTGATTGTTCTCTGTTCTCTACTAGGCTGCCTGTGAGCACAATGATGCTAAAAAGATGTGTAGACTTTGAAATCGTTCTGTGTTGTGTTCTATGAGCGCTAAGTCTACATCTCCAGTTCTGAGGGTCTGAGATTTAAAAAAGTAGGACGTTTTCAAATCAAGTGTGTGAAAGACTAGCTAAAACTATGTGGACTTCAAGTTTAACATTTACACGTGTGTTTGGTATGACTAGAATTGCGAAGACAATGCCTAGAACTCACATGTGTGCTCATGAAAGTTTGTTTTTGGAAAATGGTTCAATATATTATTTTTGTCTTCAATGACAGTGCTCAGTATTTAGTTGACACTAAACATATTTAGTCAGAGACAGAGCGTGGCCGATGTTGGGCAAAGTTTCTGCTGTTTGATTTTGAGTGATTGTTAAAGAGTTTCAGCTTTTGCTTTTCGTAATTTTTGTAAAATCATCCTAGCGAGCTCCTGTGGAACAGCTGTTTTATGCATATGAGCTCCTTGATAAAACGATCGCTGCAATGAACTGGAATTGCATGCTATCGACTTTGTCGGATGGGTCATCAGTACTCGACCATTGCTATGTCAAGGTAAGAGCGGACAGTCTCACATCAGGTCAATGTTCCCCTTAAGCAGGAAAAGAGCCGGCTTTTCAAGGAGATACGTAAAGTGTGGTTTGCTCTCATAGGCCAGATATAGCTCTTCCCAGAAGAATTCAAGGAGGGATGGTGTCTTTGAGTTTGTCAGTGAAGCGGACATGCTAAGAGAACATGGGTTTTCACATAAGCCAGCTGCTCGGGGCTAGAAGTGAGCAGAATTAAATGGCTATGAATAAGACAGAACTTGAAAGATAACAAGGCATAGCTATTCTTTTAGGCTGTTTTGATAACTATTTTCCTTTTTGTCTTCTTCTACTCTCCTGGACTGAAGGACTCTCATGACATAGACGGGGTGACTTACAAGCCGATCTCCGCGAATAGCTTCATCATGGATTTGCATCTTGAGTTAATTCATGCTCAGCACCGTGTAGCCGTCGTACTTCTTGACCAACTGCAAGGTAGTGGCCCGGAAGTAATCATACAGAATACATTTGAAGTGCAATTCAAAGGGAGAACCGACTCATTCTTGTAGTTGTGTATTTGTTGCCCACTTTTCCAAATAAGTTTTATTATTTTATATTTCTTTCCTTGGATTAATATCAATAAATACTTTGGTTTATCAGTTTACACTTTGCATAGCAGGCCAGTAAATTTCTAAGAAAATATGATTATATTTGCTTGCTTATAGTAAGTTGTTGTTTTGTTAATTCAGTGGAGCAAGCATTTGTTTAGTACCTACCAAGATCCTTTGTTTCTACCTTTTTATGTTTTCATCCTTTTATATTTTATTTTAAACGTTTATATGGTTTTCAATGTGACCCTTTAGATGTAGAGAGGAGCAGATAATAATGAAAAGTCTCTGCTCCTAAGTAAACTGAAAACCCGATAGAGCATTTCTGTTATATAAACCAGCTTCCCGAGGATAATTAGCCATAAACAGTATTTGAAACTGAAAATATGTGGTTCCGAAATGCAATTTAAAGCTCAATAGAATGATTGTGTCTGGTTTCCTTCAAGAATACTCATTATCTCCTATATCGTCCTTCATGGAAGAATGGGGCTTTGTTTGTTCTCGGGGTTACTATTTAATGGTTTACTCTCCAACTGTTGTTCATTAGGTCTTTGAAGGCCAAATGAGTTTCCATGAGGGACCACACACAGATGTTGACAGGAGGCCTGAGCTCGATTTTCGTGGAGTTAGTTAAGGTTTCATGCCGTATCCCTGAGTCTCCTTGGCTCTTCTGCTGTTCTTTATTGATCTCCCACCCTAGCCTGTGCTATTATTTCATCCCTCTGTCTCCCTTCACTCAAGTATGCTGCCGCCAGACTCATGCTCCAGAAGAGCTGTTTGTGCCTATCTTACCCACGAGCGTCACAGTGGCTGCCCACTGATGACCACAGCTTTAGATATGACCCATCTGCATCTGCACTGAGAGCTTCTCATAAATCTTATCCTTCAGTGGTGTCTGGTTCTATCTTTTCACCAGTCACTATCAGTTAGCACTCATTAGCACAAATAATAAAATCCAGTGGAAGGGGTGTGCTGTCAGGGATTTTCAGGAAATGCTATGGCTTAGTCACTGTTCTGTTGCTGCGAAGAGACACTATGGCCAAGGAAGCATAAAAGAAGCATCTGTTCAGGGGCTTCCTCACAGTTTAGAGGGTGAGTCCATGACCATCGTGACAGGGGACTCGGTGTCAGACAGCAGGCATAACATTGGTGCAGTGACTGAGGGCTGGATCTGGATCTATAAGGTGGAGGCAAAGAAAGGGAGTGACTGGGTCTGGCATGGTATTTTGAAACCTCAAAGTCACCCCCAGTGACACAATTTCTCCTACAAGGGCACACCTACTAATTCTTCCTAAAAGGTTCCATCAGCTAGGTACCACATCTTCAAATCTATGAGTCGATGAGGGCCGTTCTCACTCAGACCTCCACACTCTGCATACCTTGCAGGGCAGAACCAAAATAGTGTCAGGACTTTTTTGTGGACCAGACCTAAAAGTCATCTCCTTTCCTTGTCCCCAGCCCGCACAGCTCCATCCATGTTTCTCTCATCTCTTATCTATATTGTACCGCAGTGACAGTCAGTGCCAATGGTGCACAGTATGTATGCCCACAGTCCTTTGTGTTTTAGGTGAAAATTGCTAGGCTTTCACTGTCCCTGGAACCTTGTATTTTCCAGGGACTATGGTGACACACTTTTTCTAGAAAGGACCAGGGGCAGTTTGGCATTTTATGTAAGAACAGGGTAAAGTAGACAAGAGTCCCACAAGGTGATTTTTCTTGAGATGAAACAGAAAATTAAATATTTTTATAATGTGAAAATTCTATGTCCTGAAGTACACCACTGGAAATGGAAAAAAGGAGGTGACATTGAAACTGCAACTTGCCATATATGGCAGCACAAGCCTGTAGTTCTAACATGTGGGAAGTGAGAGCAAGCAACAGATTATCAGTTCTAGTCCTGCCTGGGCTGCATAGCAAGTTCAGGACCAGCCGGAGCCAAACAGGGATCCTGTTTCAACCAAAAATAAACCAAGGTTTGGACTTAGAGTATAGTGGTAGAGCCCATACCTGGCATGCCCAAGGTCATGGGTTTGTTCCCCAGCATGGAAAACAAAAGGTTTCCTGTTTGGTTTATAATTGGAGGTGTTCTTCAGTTTTACAGATTCCAACTGTTAGCACAAATCCCAAAGGTTTGGAAAAAGTAAAAGAACCTACAAACTCCGAGTGTTTCTCAGGTAGGTGATTCATGTTGTTGTTGTTGTAGTTCAAAAAATTTAAATGATAACGTTCATCTTGGTCTTTTAGTAACTATTTGTTTGCCTTTACAGAGTTAACTGTAATAAATAAAATAAAGAAGAACAAGCTTTCCAAAGCCAGCTACCTGATGCAGAAGGCCCTTTTACTGTTTGAGAAAGACAAAGCCTGTACAACTTCACAGAACTTGTTGATGGTAATATTTCATTTTTCCATTTCTTCTTCTAGTCCTGGCACCCAGCTTGTGTTAAAATGAGTGATTTGTGTGTCTTTCAAAAACTTGCTTTGAGCTGGATGGTGGTGTCACACATATTCAATCCCAGCACTCGGGAGGCAGAGGCAGGAGGATCTCTGTGAGTTCAAGGCCAGCCTGGTCTACAAGAGCTAGTTCCAGGACAGGCTCCAAAGCTAAAGAGAAACCCTGTCTTGAAAAGCAAACAAGCAAACAAACAAAAACAAAACAAAACAAAACAAAAAAATAAGCAAGCAAACAGTATTTTGTTCTTTGGCATCTGATTATGATTCTTAGACCACCTCACATGGAGTGGCCTGATCAGGGGGACTAAGCTCTATCTCGAGTCCTGAACTGTTTGGAAATGAATGTTTTTGTTTCTAGAGACAACTGACATGGGATGCCAATTAAAAGGAGGAGGAGTCAAAATAGGGTAAATTAAAATTGGAGCGGGCACTAGCCCTTCTAGTGCATTCTTTGTGTCAGAATTAAAATGCATACAGCCTATTGACTGAGGTAGTTTCATCCAGACAGAGGTTGCTAACATATAGAGCAATATTCTTGATGTCTTTTAAGAAATGTCATGTTGGGGATGGAACACAGGCCCCATGTATGCTGAGCCCTCTGCCTCCGAACCACCCCAGATCTGATCTTGTTGCTACCTTTAATGTGGTCTCATGCTGGAAATTCTTTTGTCTTTTCTCTGATTTGTGATAGGAGGTTTTAGTAGAACTTTCTGAAGACGGTCTACACTGCATGTTAGGAGATCTTCATTTTGCCCCTTGCATGACCTATGAAAATTTGATAGCATGATCTGTGTTTGTTAGCGTCTCAGCACTTCAAGAAAATGTGTAGAGATACATATCCTAAAAGGATCTTTGTTTATTTGGCTCACAGTCTGGGGATTCCACTTCATGGGTCTGTGGTGGTGATACAGTGGAGCCTGGAGGAAGCATTTGCTGTCAGGGAATCCATGTACCGCATGGTGGCCAGGAAGGACAGGGGTGGAATCCTAATATCCCCTTTAAAAGTGCATCCCAGTGCACTTTTAAAAGTGTGTCTCACTGCCTTCCAGTAAGGGCTATTGATCAAGCCTTTAACATATGGGACTTTGGGAGGCATTCCGTATCCTAATAGAGTACTGACTGCATGACTATTACATGAAACAGAAAGCAATGCTACAAGGAACTTGGCCAACAAGACAAAGAAAAGCCAGGTCAAATCCGGGTCAGTTAGGAGAGGTTGAAGACAGAACACATATATGTAGTATGTGAGCATGCAAAGAAGGAGAAACGGAAGCTAGAAGAGAGGCTGAAACATGAACAGACTGCCCCAGGAGAAGGAGGGGAGGAGAAGAAGGCATGGACCAGGAGCAGACAACCAGGCAGGCCTTTCATCCTTTGGTGGAGAAAGGAAGGAAGAGCGGATAGATGCACATGTAAGAAGCTTGTTGGTGTGGAGGCAGGAGGATAAGTTGATGCTGGCTTGCCTCAAGAATTTCATAAAGCAGAAAGCAAGGATTTCTGCTCGCGGGAGCAGGTATTTGGAATGAGAAGGAAGGTGAAAGGAGCTGAGAACAGGGGCGAATGAGAGCAGGAGCTGAGTCCAAGGGAGAAGCCTGGCTGGAATGTGGAAATTCTTCCTGCAGTTGGAGACTGGGACTTTTCAGAAGCTCCTCCCCTAGAGTGGTCTGATGTATCCGGATGTGCGATGTTTTGTAGCAGTGACAGCTGAGTATTTGTCATAATGAAGATTTGTGTGGGATTATTAATTTTTTAAAATGGGAATGTTAGACCTCGGACTTCCTAGAAATCAGGTCAGGTTCCTTGAAGCCAGCAGGCACTTGCCGTGGAAGTTAAAACCCACAGATTAGGGTTTTAACTTGGCGTGTAAAAGTATATGGAAATCACATCTCACCTTTGCTCAGGGAACTTTCCTGAAGGCTTCCCCTTTTCTTCTAGCCCCCCTGACCATGTTGAACATGACAGCTTTTTTGTGTTTTTTTTTTTTTTTTTGACACAGAATTTCTCTACATAATCTTAGCTGTCCTGGAACTCTCTCTGTAGACCAGGCTGGCCAGGAACTCACAGAGATCCTCCTGTCTCTACCTCCTGAGTGCTGGGATTAAAGACGTGCACCATCATCGCCTGACCAGCAGCTGTTTTTCCTTCTCTTCCACTTTAAGATGTCTTAAGTAATGGTGTTCCTCTCTAGGTACTTTAAGGAAGGTCTTCTCACCCTCTAGGGATCCAACATGTTGTCTCTGGTATGACATACTCTCCCCTCTTAAGGCTTTCCTATCTCAGGGCCTGATCATGGCTTCCCACTTCCCTCATGGTCTCGGGCTCTCTCACCTAACACAGCTCGAAGTGAAGAGTGATTGTGTCAGGTCCTTCTCTGAACCCGCAGCTCTCAGTCTTTGTTATTACAGGTAGGAACTAAATGTTTACAGTATGGAAAAAAAAAACCCAAGTTCAGATTGACTAGGGAAGGAAATAAGGCATCAAGGTGGAGACTTGATTGTTATAGAAAAATAATAAAAGCGGACCATCCTATAAGATTCCATCAGAGACGAGAAATGGAGAGTCTGAGAAAAGCTAGAAGGATGTGTTTGTGGTTAGCAAGCAGGGTTTTCAAAAACTTGGACATAGACTTGAGTTGAACACTGAATAGCCAAAGATGAGGGATACCTGGAGGAGAAAGAACACTCCAGGCAGAGAGCAATATGGGCAGCGTCTCAAGAGTCCAGAAGTCCTTGAGTGCTTGTAGCCCCGCATGGCACTCACGGTGAGGGGCTTGGATGTGAAGGGGCAGGGGGAGGTTGGGGGAAAGATGGTGATGCTTGAGAACGGATGGAAAGCAGAGGGACATCCAAAGAGCTCTTACCCGGCTGCTAGGGGCTTTGGATGGATCAATGCTATCATTGTTCAGGGTAGGGAGTCCGTCCTGGCAGTGTCAGGGAAGAGCTTTTGGGTTGGCAGCATTTGAGTGGGGGATGGGGGTTGATGTCAGCACGGGTGATCTGAACCGGTGGGGTCGAGGAGCCTTGTGGGAAGATTTGCATGTGTTCAGATCTGCATGTGTTCAGCTCTGTTTTCTCAGCAGACAACTCATGGCTGTGTACTTAGAGGACGTCGACATTCCAGTCCCGTTTCTAGGGAGAATAAAATGTAATTTCTTTAAACAGTATTGCTCTCAGGACTAAGCCCACATGCCCTTGGAGCCTGGTGATATATTGAGACCTTGGATGCTTCCTTCCTGCTTCCATAATACACCATTTCCTTGTTATAGCTCTACTTCCGTCGAGGCAGGGGAGGAAGAGAGTGGGGGAGGGGAGTCTAAGTTTCCAGGTCTTTTTAATTCCTAAGACTGTTGGAACTCGAGAAAAATTATGAGTATAATGTCTTAAGAAGCCCCATGAGATGCGCTTTGAGGCGCTATTCTTTATAAGGGATTGTGCTAGCCAGGAGCATGTTGAATATTTGTCTTGATGTCCCGAATCTTCGGTAGCCACCTCTGCTCCTCAGTGGCAGTTTTCATCCAAGTGTTATGGTGTCATGATCGCTCCTTGGGGCACTCTCCTAAACAGCGCTGTTATGACTCAAATAATTGTCAAACTTTCTTTCCTTATAGAAGACAAATAAACTCCTTTCCCCTGGCAATCATTCTCTCCCGAAGAATATCACAAAATATTTTACATTATCAGGGTTCTGTAATAAAATTGTCCCCAAATCAGTAATTGATGTGTCACCTGATGTCATAAAAAGGCATGAAAAGCTTGGGTCTCTTAGGAACTCTTAAATTATTCATTCTCTGTTTTGGTTTTTCGAAAGTTTTCTGCCCTTGTGGAAACATAATCGTATCAAGTGTCTTGATCCCAAACCGATTACAAGTGAGCCAATATGTGGCCGCAGACAAGGGTCAGACTTTTGATAATGAGAGCTAACCAAATGGGATGGATGGCTTCTTTTCTTGTGTGGAGGAATGCCTTTATCCCATCCTCCTTAACTATTTGACTCTGATAATCTGCTTTGACTTTGCCCATGAGGCCATGTCTTTATTGTAAGGGATGGCACCTAGCACCTCTACTGGATGCTTTTCTCCCTTTGAGCTGAGCAGCCACCATGTGGCTTATGTTTAATCATTAGTTCACTGAGGAGTCTACAGATGACCTTTCGGCATCTTAGCAGAGAGACTGAGATGCTTCTAAGGGAGGTTGGGGCAGTGTTCTATGATGCTGCTTCCTGCATTTCCCTCTCCAAATATCACCGGAGGAGGAATGACTTCCTCCCCATTAGCTATAATCTGTCAGAGCGCGGGTACTAAAGATACAGAAGGGGCCTACTGACTGCTCCCTCCTTGGAAGCTGAAACCTCAGTAGCAGTATGAAAAGATTGCAACTTCAGGGTACACACCCCGGAACAGTCCCTTGCTGGAAACAGAGTCACTCTGTGCCCTCTGCAAGGGAACAGAGCTTATAACCCCTCTGTTGCTACTCCTGTGTGCTAATAATGAGAAGGCCGTGACCCTGTTCTGGGGATCCTCTGTCCCTCTGATCCCCACTTCATTTTCTCTGTAGCTTCTGTTGCAAAGAAACTCAACTGTTGCATCTGCTTTTCTCCTAATACTGTCTGCTGGAGCTGAAGTAAGTCTGCAGCTGAGATAAAAACCAGCGGCGCCAAATCCTGGTGTTAGTCCCCCAACTCTAAGCAAGGGAGCATTGTGGCTCAGCAGAGTCATTTTTATTATTGATACAGCATGTAATTGTGTAGTCCCGTTTTGGAAGCAGAGCTATGAGGAAAACCAGAGCCACTGGAAGTTCTTGTAAGTCCCGGCTTTAATATTTCCAGAATTTATGTCTGTGTTTCTATCCTGTGAACTGAGCTAGCAGTAATTGAGTTTATTTCTTTTTCTTATTTATGGAATTTCAGTCAATCAATCCTATTTGTTTGTCTTGAGGGAAA